CGCATCCATTCTGACATGCTTCGCAATTCCCCTTCAGGAATTTGACATCTGTTATACTGAGGCTAATTCTTTATGTCGAAGCTATGACTGTTATACTCACTGATTCATTCAAGAACTGCATTGAAAAAATAGCAGGAAACTCACAGAATAACTAGTGTTACACCGGTGCACATCAGGTTACAGAGTAGGTTTATGTTGTAGGGTTTCACGGGGATTTGCGGTTACGTACCTATGCTGAAGATTCAGCAAAGAGTAAAAATCAACTGTGATCATATCAACTGATCCCTGAAGCTTTTTTACTGGTTCATGAAAAGCCAGTTACCATTTACCATTAATAATTAACAAGAACTTTTTTAAAAACATGAAACATCTACTGTAGCTAAGGAAACGGAATGTTTTTTAGAGAAGAAAGCTTTGCTAAACAAAGTGTGCATTATTCTGTTGACTAAAGTTTTGATTTTGTCACCACTGTGTGTCAGTTTTTTCCACGGCCAGATGTGTTAACATCTGTGGGATCTTTGCCAGGATGTTCATTTTATTGTAACTTTGTTGCCTCTTCTTTCTCGGTCAGAAAGTCTTCACTTTTTCAGAGTGGTCTTGTACACTCACCATGCACTTCATTGAGTACAGCTGATCTATTAGCTGATCACAAAGCAGCAACTCAGGGCATTTAGGCAAGCAGACAAAGGTGATTTAAGTGACTTTGACTATGACATGTTGTTGGTGCCAAATGGGCTGGTCTGAGCTCCCCAGAGTTCAGAGAAAAAGGTCTTAAAAAGAGAAAATATGTAGTGAGGGGTAGTTCTCTGGGTGAAAATGCCTTGTTGATGCCAGAGGTCGGAGAAGAATGGCCAGACTGCTTTGTTCTGACAGGAAGGCTACAGATATTGGGCAATAGAAGATTAGTAAAACATTGCCTGGTCTGATGAGTCTTGAATTCTGTTGTGACGCTGGGATAGTGGTACCAAAATTTGCCATAAGTAACATGAAACCTTGTAACAACAAATTTACCGGCAGCTTTTGTTGGGGGTGAACATGAGCAGGGAGTCTAATACCTGCAAATCTTCAGTAGGTTGTTTTCTTTTAAGTATGTTTAATTTTAATATTTTATTGCCCTGAGCCTGAAAAAGTAAAATTAAACATTTGGCTAAATCACAATTGTCACATAATCACATTATTTATTCATGCCTCTTTTACATTTTAAATAAATAGAGCTAAGTAAAGAAAATTGCAGTGCATGCAATCTACCTAGCAGGGTGAAGCACAAAAAGGGAATCTTCTTTGTCTTGTATATAATATCAACGTTTTTTCATTAAATAAAAAGCATAGATTGAAAATTGAAAAACTGGTGCTCCTTTAAGGCTTAATTTTGAGTTTAATTTTGCATAGCATAACCAGAAATTGCTCTGTTTGCAGACACTTGTTTACAACTGAAGCCCACCAAGCTTTTCCACTTTCCCACCTCTCATTTTGTTTATCTGTCCTGTGCAGGTATTTAAACCACTGTAAGCATTTTGTCTGTCACGGTGGCTACAAAAGCCTCAGGCAGCATAAGCAGCTTAAGCTTTCTTGTTGTGGATTCCTGTCTGTGTTATTTTAGCAATAAGTTGTTCTGAATAGTATACCAAAGCAACATAACAGACATGACAATGCTATAAACAGATGTTTAAAGGTGGTGCGTGTCAAAAAAATAGTAGGAAAACAGGAAATGTTTACAAGCACTTAGACATATAACACGCATGTTTGTATTGAGTTTACATTCACTGATTAAAATTTGTGCTTCTCTGACTCTTGGGAAATTAATATGGCTGCCCAATCTCCCTGGTGTTGTATAAACAATTCCTAATCACACAGTGGTGTGTATCATTTGACTTGAAGTGTGTGTGTTATGCAGTGGTGTGTGTGTATAGGGCATTAGCTGTGTGCGCTGTCATTTGTGCACCATTAACACCATGCTGGGGCCTCCTTTTCGCACTCTCGGCTGTTCAAACATGCCGGAGGAGATTCGGTATTAAATGAGATGTGGCGCGGCTGTATTAGCCACTACCTCAGACAACGACTGTCACTTCAGGATGTTTTCAGGCTTTGAGGGTGGTGGGAAAGAAGGGGCAGTACTAGCTTCTTCTGACTGAAACCTGGGAACACAGGCTGCAGATCCTGAAGGTTGAGTATGCATGGACTGATGTTAATGCACACTTACAGGCCTGGCCACAGATCCTTGAAGGTCTAACAGTAGCAGGTGGAAACCACGGGATTCGCTAATGGGACGGTCTTGATGGATCTCTTGTCTGACAGCCTGCAGTGTTCTCCTAAGTCAGAGGCCCATATCAGCAAGGGGCGAATTACTTTTAAATCACCTGTGCAACATTTATCCCTGTGCCCTTGTGAAGACTCTTTCCCGTCATATTGTACAGCAAGAGGCTTAGAGGTGATTTACTGAATGTGAATCAACACCTGTATGTATGATGGGGCTAAATTTATAACTTACATTTGTTTCTTTTATCTTCTGGTCTCGCCCTGTCATAGTTAATCAACACAGGTGGAGTGAGTAATGCATCACAATTGGATGTCATACTTTATTAATGGAAGCAGTAAAAGCCAATTAATTGCTTTTACCACATCTATCATACTTTCCTTAAAAGGCTAACTGCTAAGTGTTTTATAATTCTCGAGTCCCTTTAGTGTGGGGATTAATGAATCCAAGTAATTCACTCTTCCGATGTAAAGCTGGTAGCAACAAACCTGAAGAGAGTTTGGATATATTACTTTGCTGAAGTCAGCTGTGATTAGAGGTTTGAGAAAGAAAGATTGTTCAAGCTTATTTTCATATAAAAAACCAGTGGAATGTTTTCAGAATAAACTGTGATTTTGTTATATAAATGATAACCAGCAGGTGGGCTCGCCTGTATAAAAGCAGAAGCTTTAGCATTTTGTTGGAATGAAGCATTTAGGTGTGTGTTAAGACAATGCTATAATCTTCCCAGGTATGGATGTTCCAACAAATCTACACCAATGTCCATGCAAAGCTCAGAGACACTGCAAAACCCAAGAGCTATATCTCAGACACTACAGGGCTCAATTAGAATGTTAAAGGTGAAAGTTCATGACAGTATAATTAGAAAAAGATTGAAGAAGTTTGGAAATTTGCACAGGTTGCCAGGAGATGGCCTATTTTTTAAAAGAACATAGCAGCGCGGCTTAGTTTCTAAACAAACCAGAAGACTTCAGGAAAAATGTGTTTTGGACAGATGTGACTAAACTCTCATTTGTCCAAAGGACATTGTTTCAGTGGTCAATTTTCATGAAGATTTTGCACTTGTTTTGCTTACTCAGCCGTCTTGCAGTTGCTGACTTGGCGATAAATTCCTCTGTTTACCAAAGTTGTCCACAGTCAAATGCTAAAAGTGGTTCTACAAGCTACTGAATCATAAGGTGCACTTGATTTTTTACAGGACTGAATAAATTCCTGTGACAAAATTCTTTTACCGATGTCTGCAGCCAGTCTTGACTCTGCATTTTATTAAGATTGATGCTCTCAAGTCATATCATAGCAGTCCAACTCACTTTAAACAAGCTTTGGATATCTGTTGGCAGTAATATGTTTTACCCTGTAAACGCACGCGTTGCCTGCGTTTACAGGCAACGCAACAATATATGTTGTTTTTAAAGCTTTCATTTATAAAATAATACAACTACATTTTAAAGAATCAGCCACCTAGATGAGTGTAGAAGAAAAATTTAATCTCATTAGATAGTAAATATTGTCTAGATGTATCAGACTCTCTTTTCTGATTCATATAAAATGATAACAACTCATCTGTTTAGATGATTCAATTTAAGTCTCCATATAGACAGCAATATAATTTTCACTCAACAGGACCTTCAAGAGAGATATCGTTTCGATGATTATTTGTCATCGAGTAAAGAAAAATGATTTCAAATGAACTTCAGTCTTTGGAAATATAGTAAAACTGTTATTCAGAGCTAATTCCTTTTAAAATGCTAATTAACAGTTATCCCTCAAAGCTATCCTCAGACTCACAAACAGGAGGATAATAAATACATTTTCATTGGATTTTTGCTTAGCTCCTGCTTTTTCTTGTTTTCACTGATGCAAAAGTTATCAGTAAGCTTGGTTGGTGCAATATAACCTGGAGATGTTCAGCGTGATGAATAAAACATCAATAAAAAAATCCCTCCTGAACAGTGTCTCTGTAGCTGCTGGTGATTTTTAGAAAAAGAAAATCAAGGATACTGCAAAGTAACAGACGCATGCTGACATAGGGCCTTGAATATAGTCCGGGACTTTGGTTGACTTTTTTATTTTTGCCTATACTTAAGTGAGAAGATAGATAGTACTGTGTATTTTACCTTGAACTTAAAGGAATTTTATCTAGTAAACAGTTAGATGGTGGATAAATTAATCAGTTGAGAAAAATTGATTTTGGAAAAGTGTTGATAATTGCCATTTCAATATAAAAATAATAATAATAATAAGTACACAAATCAGATAAATTGGAAGTTATAGTTATAGTATAGTTGAACTAATGTGCAAAATCATAGGCTGCATATAAAAGATAGAATGTGGCCACCATGATGAAGTGGAATAGCCTGACATTAACATAGCACTTGTTTAGTTTTACAGGCAACGCAAAGCACTTTAGACTGCATGTCACATATTATCTCTTGAGGTCAAAACCCTATGCCATGCTGTTAACATGCATTTATCTTTAATGCTCTCCAGTTTTAAAATCTGAGTCTGCAGGAACTTTTTTGCAACCTCAAGTGGCAATTAGATGAACTGTTTTTGCCATTTATGCAAAGGCTCCATCTGTGAGGTTACTGCTTGGAGAAAACAAGCAATTTAATGGTGTCACTCTGAACATAACAGAACTTGTCACTTTTTTCCGTGCATATAATTGATTGCATTTGCATATAATCCGAATAATCAATGCTGCATGTTAGCTGCAACCTGACCATGTTTTTTTTCTCTTTTTCAGACATTTCGATGGCCCATTGCCAGCAAGCTGGATGGAAATGAAATGCTAGAGATCCAAGTGTACAATTACAGCAAGGTCTTCTCCAACAGGTATGGTGCTGTTTACTAATTCAAGCCCCCCAGACAGCGCTTCAGAGTAAATTGTCTATGTTTGCCTTCCTGCCTTTCTGTTGCAACCTGTGACCACCCCAGACTGACACATGATGCATGTAGCTAACCTAATGAAGGAAACGCTTAAATTCCCCTAGGGGTTTGCTCTAAATTGACTCACCTGTATGCAACAGACTGCAAACAGCAGCCAGGGCTGAGTAAGCATCACGCCAGAAAGTGGGCAGAGGTAATGAAACAGTATTAAAGTCTTGGTAACAGGCATATTTATCATTTCACACACTCCAAACAGTCAGATCATTTTAGAAAAAACCCATCCGGTCCTGTAGCTGATGATACAACTGAAAGTTGAGTATCATTGCTTTTACAATATCCGTAGCTTTAAAGACAAGTCAGACAAATGTTTCTTTTTTTTTAAATTGTGTCATAGCTAATATGTTTTTACTGACACATCCCAACCTCACGAGGTGTAATCATGTGAGAACCAACTAAAAATATTACTGTGAGGTTCATCTGACCTGAATCATGGGTGCAGCATGACACTAATAACTTATAATGCTTTGTCTACAGAGAAGAGCCTTATTTTTCTGTCACCATTTCTCGCATGTCTGAAAGAACACATTCCTATTTCATCAATCCAGCCGTCCAACTAGGCCATGTAACTGCTCTTGTACTCCTTGCACATTAGTATTTCTTACATTTCAGATATGTATTCGACCTCTTGATGCTCATACCTGTGTGATGCCTTTTGAGAGCTGCCAAAATGCATGTCACCCGAATACATCCTGTATGAACAGAAATGGAGCAGAATGTACTACTGCTCTCCTAATGTGTTGTTTCTATTACGCTTCCCACATAGACAAGGTGTAGAAATCATTTGTGCAAGGCTGTTTGTGTAAATTGGCTAGTTAAGTAATATCCCTCTTCTCCTCACTTCTTCAATTTCTTGTTAATTTTTCCTTTATTTTGGTTCATTTGGATGGCGCTGTGCACTTTTTGTGTCCTGCTTGAAAAAGTGATGGACTGGTTGTACCAGGAAGCCAGTCCACCTACTGTGTCCATAACAAATCCAGTCAAATTATACCAGCTGCCCAACTTCTCACAATGGACTGATTGATGTGTCTAATATGGTTCAGACTAGAGAAAACATTGCACCACCCTCCGAGTTAATAAAGCACAGTAATGTTAACTTCCTTCTGTGTGTGCCCATAAGCATCAATACATGTGTGTAGCACCAGCTCAATAGTTAGTCTATGTAACCTAATCATGTCTGCAGTGTGCAAATTTAGCTGCATGTAAATGTGTGTAATAAAGAGCTAAATGCTGGTGACAGGTGTGCAGACACATGCTAGATCAAGTCTACATCAAGGCAGATTTGAACTGTCAGCAAGATTTCTTTATGCCATTGTGTGGAAGACTGAAGTTGAAACAAAGACAAATACATTTTTACAGGCATGCATGACAATTAGGGGTCAGTGAGTTTAGGAGGGTTTGGGCAGGGGTGGACGGTTAATTTTCCCAAATGGCAACATGAGAATCTGAAACGTTTGTGGAGGGCCGCACCAAAAAGCTGATATCAGTTCACCTCAGTATTAAATCCACAACAGTCCCAGTTTGTTTCTGTATGCGGCCCCTTGGGAACTTTATTTGCCTAATCCTGCTTTAGTGTGACTGTCCTACAATTAGCAAGTCACTACAGCTTAAGAATGCAGTCACCTTGGCTTCTCAGTCACCTTTAACGCTAGTTGTACGAAAAGACACCATAGGGAAGCAGCTGATATTTTTTAATCTTTCTGGTCATTTTTCTGTCAAAAATTAGCCTTACCAATTCAGAGTGAAAAACTGATATACATAACGTGCTAATCAAGCTAGCTACTTACGCAAAGCCACCTATTCAAAATGGTCTGTAATTATATGCTCCCTAGCAAAGATGTAAAATCTAACAGATTAAGAATTTACAGGAAAAACAGTATTAGGCTGGGCAGTAACACCAGTGTGAGTAGAACAATGTCTACATTAGCATTTTGCTAAAAGCAACACTGCACCAAAGTAGCATAGTTTTGCAGACACATGACTACTGACCATGTGATATAACTTCACCATTCTGGATGTGTGACTATTGTGAATGTGGAGTCAGGTGAATAAGGCCCTAGTCAGCAGGATTAAAGTATGATTTATTGGGTTGGGGAGCTGTAAGAGCTGTAAGAGCTGTAAGCTGTAAGCGTGGCAGTGCAGAGTGGGGAAAAATTACTTAGAAATAAGTTTGATGATAATTTGCTTGTGAACTCTAGTAGATTTTCTCTCTTTAGAGATTAGCTGACCTGTGATGCTACTTTTGCTACTTTTTGATTTAGCCAACTAAGTTAAACACTGCAAACCTATCAGTGTAGCCTATACTAAACTGATATTTTCATGCAACCTTTGAAAAACACAAAATGAGCATACTTAAATTTGTTTTTGCAAAATGCTTCACAAAAATATAATTTAGCAACACGTTATTTAAAGGTCTAATAACTTATTCAAAATTCATGACAACTTTAAATGTAAGATTTAAACTTCCAGTTTATAAAATGTCACATACTGCTTCATCTATCAGTGTCACACATTAACATTTTTCCCTCTCCTAAGGAAATTCAGCAACTGTACATTTAGCTCATGGATACATTTTGTAATAAACTACACAGAAACATTTTGTGTGTTTCCTGATGCTTGTTGAACTGTTTAAAATGTTTCATTTAAAATTATCTTGCAATTAAAAAAAAACACTACTCAATTTATGCTCACTCCTCATAGCTAAATGCTGAAGTATAGCATACATAACTTTAGGTCAGCACCATAAATGCATCACAGGGAAGAAAGGGATGCGTTGAAAGTGTAAGCAGGCTGTGGGATGCCATTATGTTTGTATTAATGAGCAACTATCTCCATGTCATCACTGGAAGAATGCCAGGTTGCAGTGCATGAAAAATTCACGCATTCAGCAACATTATGCAATAACCTGCCTATCAGATGTAATTACTCATTAACTAAAGGTGCCGGAATGCAATTCCAATTGTTGCTATCTAACTTTAATCTTTGTTAGTCACACAGGCCTAGATACTGGTTCTCAACCAGCTAGCAATCACCCATCATAGGGGAAAAATGTGCACTCCTTAACCAGCTGGCAGAAACCGCATGATTGCTTTGGTTGCTAGCAGATTGTTGTGGTTGCCCATTGTTGGTGGGCAAAGGTTCGGCTTGCCTACGAATACTCCCCAGCTACTCATCAAGCCACAGTGAAAAAAGAAAAGCGTGACAAAAAAACATAAACTGTGACAGCTTGCCTTCAAAGTAAAGGAAATCTCTCAATTGCAGTGGTAAGGTATGGCTTTTTACACTGAAAGTGAACATTTCCTGGTTCTGGTTTGCATTGCAATTTTTACGGTTTTACTACCACCTGGCAAGTAGTTACTACAGGCAACTTGTTAGGAATCTAAGAAATTAACAAGGCACGACTGTATATTGACTACATATTATATATTGAATATATAATGTATTGGCTGTGTATATAGAGAGTCTTGTTTACAAAAAAGAAATATAACAAATTCATATAGGTGCAAGCATGCCATTGCTCTGACACAGCAAGATTCTCATTCTTAACACTGCATATAGAGTTATAATTTTTTCAGATGTTTTTTCCAACTATGGAAAGCTTTTTCATAACTTCAGATGGATATTAATTCTGCATCATTGATCCTTAAGCAATGAAGGCAATTTTTACAGTTGTACACAAAGCAACTGCTAGATCCATTTTAAAAAACATACATTAAATTCAATTTAAATGCAGAATTGATTTGAGCCAGAGTTTCTCTTGGGTGGGAAAAAAACGCTGTTCTATTTTAATGAAACTTTTTCATCGACTAACTTTTTCATAACAGCTCAAGCACATTTGGAGATGGTTGAGTCCAAGCAAAATGTATACTTTGCCATAAGTAGGCAGTTCTTAAATGTAAAAACTGAGTACATAAGCATAACCTGACACACATTTAAACAGGTAAATAATTCAGTGTGAGTCACAGCTTTTGTGGTTCTTGCACCTGTTCCACATGTCCACAGGCTACTTAATTACCAGGGTATTTGATCTACTTCATCACTGTTTGTACCAACACACTTTAGGGCCAGTGTGATACACCCTGCCACCACAAATGTGATCACATTACAAAAACACAAAGAAAGGGTAGTGATGTGTAGTGGCCTCTTTGCTGTAGTGACATATAGACTGTGTTTTATTTGTTTTCTCATGTGGCTGAGAGATTTGCTTTCATATTCGGCCCATCATGGGGTATACTGTGTGGGAGTTATTGAGCACTGAACAGTGACAGGTTATATGATAGCATATTCAGTGTTCTAAACCTGAGGTCGGTGGTGTCTCAGCGCGTAGATTGTAAGACTGAGATAGAAGCCACAGGCAGGATGCCTGAGGCAGACTTAACAGTAAGCAAGCGAGAACTCAATATCAGCAATAAACAGAATTCTAAAAGGTCCAGATGCACGAGGAATAACCTAAGCGACCAAGCTCAGGAACATAACAGACACCTAAACAAAGGAAAAGGGACTATGTATACGGACATAGGGGAGGACAAACAAGGAGGAAACAAAGCCAAAAGCAAGACAAAAAAAGTAATTTTTTAGGTGCTTTCAATTGATCCTTCCTGTCCAGCAACATATATAATAATGTGTATGTGTTAGTCCCCATAGGGAAATTACTCTTCTGCATTTAACCCATTCACCCAGTGAAGCAGTGGGCAGCCACCAGTGCAGCGCCCGGGGAGCAGTGTGTAGGGACGGTACCTTGCTCAAGGGTACCTCAGGGTATGTAAAATAGTATTCACTGATCAATTGAGAGTGGTTGCAAGAAGTTACTGGCAGCTGCTGTGAAATGGAACGCTAAAGCTGAAAAATGGAAACAGAAGCAATTCACCTTCAAAGTAAAACTTGTGCATTTTGAAAGGCGTCTACTTCAGCATTAAGGGACAACTTTTATTTTGAAGACAAACATTCTCCATTTGCAGTTTGCATCACACATTGTTGAGTTTGCTCCATGGTAGTTAGCTAGCAATTAAATGTAGACTAGCTGCTGTTTTTCACACAATTGTATCAATCTGCCAGCTACCAAAAAAATCAGATGGAGGAATTTTGTGCAACACTTTCCTTGTGACCAGTTTCACTCAGTGATAGCCAGTTATCTCCAGCAACCACTCTTAAACCAGTTGGCTAATATACAATTTCCCTAGTGGCCAACTGTACCGAGGGGTTGCTGATCAGCCTGTGTGACTGAGGAGTCTTCAGCTAAACAGATAAACCTGGTTTCATTTTTGCTTTTGTTTCAGTGCAAAATGAAAATTGTGTCAATAATAGGCAGATTTTGTCTATGCTCCGCACCCCCACACGCGTCTTTACAAACCTTATGTTCTCTCTTTCTTCCACTTCGCCTCTCTATCCTTTGGCATAGTTTGAAATAAAACAATCAGTCAAAACAAACACATTTACATATAATTCTTTGTTTTGTCCTGCAATGGAATGTGTCTGTTACAAAGCTGTAAGAGTGCTTTATGTATATGCATCACAGCAGTAAAAGGAGCTAAACCGCAGGACCACACTCAGATTGCCATGGCATGCTGATGGGCAACAAAGCAAGACATAATAGCTTTTTCTATCATTTGCGGTTAAAAATTCTATTAAGCTCATCTGCGTGTGTGAAAAGGAGACAGGGTGTATTGATTGCATCCCCATGAATCAATAGATCATCTTTGAGCAATTCAGTGATGCATTCAGTGAATCTGCTCATATTTGTATTAGTGGCAGCAGAGTGCTTGGCAGAGACTTTCTGGCAGATCACGGGGGCCAAATCACACACTCCTGTCAGCTGTAACATTTCCATTTCACACTATCCTCCAGCTGCACTACCTGCCGCTGCAGTGGATTAGAGCATCTTTGCGAACCCTCTGTCTGCCTTGGAAAAAATATTTTACATTTCAAAGCTGAGCTCACCTCTTCACAAATACACCTGAGCCAGACATTTTGCCATAGTCACACCTTAAATTGAGAAAGAGAAGAAGAATTAATGCAAATTGAAAGGGAAGGGAGCTGAATCATGAAGCAGATGAAAGTAAATTGTTTGCAGGACTTCAATCAATAATGAATGCCACCTTTGAAGTGCTAAAAAAAAGCGAGCCAGAACATGATAGGCCTTGCTCAGTTCAATTATTCAGCACTTGCAACACGTGCTACAAGGGTTGAAAGGAAATGACAGACCATTTAAGTAGCACTGGATATATTGATCACCCCTGTCTGGTAAAGGAAACAGTGCAGTGGGTTATTAGTAATATTGCTCAGAGTCTCAGAAGTTTCTATTCATCTTCAAAAGAAAAAAAGTTTTCTGCACAAAGCCATCTATATCCACCAAGACGTTTTTCTTTAGTCATGTCAGGCCTGTAGAGTTGTGCATGGAGTTATGCATTGGGGAGCCTGGCAGATACTCACTTTCACAAAGGCAGAACCTGCCAGCGCCTCGGGGGAAGCACATACTGTTTTTGGGTTTTTTTTTTAACCTGCAATTCAAAGAGAAGTCAAGTTCTGGAAGTCTAAATTTACCTCATTATTAAGTTTCGAAGCTCTGCTGACAAATGTAGCCTCACTTTCTACTGTAGTTTGAATTCATCACCACTGACTCCAGAGGAAAGACAAAGTGAAAACAGAAGGTATAGAAAGAGCGAGAGATTAATCTAAGGAAAGGGGGGAAAAAATAATAGCAGACAGATTGCTGCTTTTGTTGCAGCTCATTCATTTATTGAGATAGTATTCGGGGGGAGGGGTGGGGTGGGGGGGGGGGGTATGTTGAATTGGAGGTGTCCTTGTGTACATGTGTGTGTTTGTGCGTACTGCAGTCCTTCACTCTATTCTGACTTGTCAGGTTCAGTAGTCCTGTTGGGAGGATCACATTGTTGGCTGCGATCCCTACAGATTTCCTCTGTGTGTGCATGTGTATTTGCAAGTGTGTGCATGGCAGCTGGTTAACTATTGTTTCCACGCTTTCGTTTTATGATATTGTATCTCCCTACGGGCTCATATCCAGGCTGCTGTTTGTGTGTATGCCTTTCCTTCCTTTTGATGCTCTCTTTGAATATTTATCACCCTGTATGTCACATATGCAGTAGAAATATAAGATGCAGCTTTATTTTCGGTCCGTGAGTTATCCGAGGTACGTGTTTGTGTAGCTGTAAACATTGTTTGTCACCACTGTATATGGCAGAAATGCCATATGGTTGGGCTCAATGTGGACTTCAGCACACGTTCTTCATGTGTGGCTGACTGCTCTGCAAACAACACACTTTTATGAGGGAAACTTTTTAAATTATTCAGCAGCTCTAATTGACCACCTGAATGGGCACTGTACTGAGTTTCTACCCACTGTAACATTTCATGAGGTGTCCTTGGGCAGTGGAGAAATCCATCTTATGATCTAAAGTTTGCAATAGGGAGGTACCATTATGTTGGTAATTCTTCAGGGGGTTCTGGATGGAGGCAACGCATTATATTAAAAAATGTATGGTGTATGTTTACTAAACGTTCCATAACATAAAATGAAATTCTCTCCTGAAAGCATTATGTTGATGGATCATCAGTCTGTCTGTCAATCCCATTTTTATGAACACAGTATCTCAGGAAAGCCTCGAGGTAGTTTCTCCACAGTTTGCACAAATATGAATATTTAAGCTTCAAAGCACAAGTTACTACACCAATGTCTGACGTGATAGAATATAAAATGACATTTTAAGCCCAAAATACCAACGGTAGACTTCACCGTGATGTCACACTTTCATGGACATTATTAAATGCCATAACTTAGGAACAGAAGAGGAAATGTGACCATATTTCACATTTTGTTTTTTCACTTTGTTGCCTATTCTGAAAATGTGCTGACTGTAAATCTGATTTGTGGCTAGGTTGAAGATGCATGTGCAGCCTCCACTTTTTTTTGTAGTGCCTTTATAGTAAAAATCCACATTTAATGCAATCATGGCTACAGCAATATCTTTTAGCTGTAGCTCGTTTGGACATAATTTGTAGGTAGAATAAATAGTAGATGGATAGATGTTTAATTTACAGAGTAGTTTTGACCAGTGTGGAACATTTTTGTGTTAACTGTTTGATATTAAGCATGAAAAATGTCTAAGTATTTTAAAATAGGCAGTAAAACTTAATTCCTATTGCTTATCTGCTAGGAAAATTAGTTATCACAGCAGAAGCAAAAATCATTTCACAAGATGCACTTCCAAACTAACCGGGGGGTTGGGGCACTAATTACTTCGTTTGAGATGCAGCATATGGCAGAGTGAGCTGGTGACAAAGGTAGTGAAGTACTTTTTCACTGTCTGTCACCGCAAATGTCCAACAGAAGTAGAAAGAGTGCCAAAGTGATATGGATCAAATTAGACACCTGCAGTGGCCAAAACAGCTCAGTTCACTGCTGCTTACATCCAAAAAAAGAGGAGATGTTGTGTAAAATTTAATGAAACCGCTAAGGGATTTGTTAATTATTAAAATCCCATGTATTTAATGAAATATGGAACAAGATGACAAATCAAATTTTAAACTGCGAAATGTTTTTTTAATAACAAAGACAGAGACATGTTAACATATTATAAATATATATGTAGGGGTTTTTTTTTCCATTCAGCAATTCACAGCTTCTTTTGTCATATTTTTGTTTTCATAATGTGAGTTCACAGCTCTACACTCCTGGTGAGGTAGTTTAGCACACTTTTATAAGAAAAAATTATGTTGTACACAATAAATTTGGCTTGGTCATTGTATTGCTTAAACAAGAAAAGCCTTAAAAAGGGGGGGGGGTGCAAACTTTAAAGGTTTAAACTAGGACATGTATGTTTGCATGTGTTTTTTTTTCCAAATGCAGTGATGCGAGCGCTCTATTGCAGCATGTAAAACAAAGATAAACAGATGGGCAGCAGAGGAGGAACAAAAGACAAGTGACACAATGCCATTATTGATTCTATTGATTTCTGTTTACAATGCATGGCTCTTTGTTGCTCTTTTCCTACAGACTCATTGGGACTTTCTGTATGGTGCTTCAGAAAGTGGCTGAAGAGGGACATCTAGAGCTGACTGACACACTCACTGATGATAACAACACGTCAATAAAGGTAAACTCTCACATTAGAACAATCTACAGACATAAATCAATGTGAGCCAATCAAAATATTTAGACAGCATTTTCATGTGACTGCACCATCTAATTTGAAACCTTTAATGTTGGGCCTTCTGTAGCTTTATTTCAGTTTATGTTGGGATTCATTCATAAACCCATATTTTATCGACAAGACAACACAGATAACATATCAAATGTTTAAAATAAGAAAATAACAGAAAAAAATCAAAGCTGTTTTGAAGTGATCGGCAGCAAAACATTGAGTAACAGGGCAACAAAAGGAAAAGTAAGTTCAGCTCGAGGAACATTTTGCAGCTAATTAGACAACAGGTCAGTGGCATGTTTAAGTATAAGAAAAGCATCTTGGAGAGTATCTCAGAAGTAAAGATGAACAGAGGTCCATCAATCACCAGGAAACATTAAAATCTGGTTATTTTTTCTTAATTTGGATTGAAAAAAATTGTGGATAGAAGTCGGCTTGGTCTCTAATGATCCTACTAAACCAGTGACATCTTTTTCAGTGGTAACAAGGACAGTTTTGAGAAAATAAAAAAAAGGGCTTGGATAAACGTACAACATGTTACCCAACAAGCAACAAATGGCAAAATTAGCAATTTGTTGCTGAAAGTATAGCATTTTGCCATAAAATAGGTAAATATTATTCCCACAAAGATGTTATAGATGTCTTTGCTTTATGAACTGATCACATGCCACTGTTGAGTTTACATATTGTTTAGATTTTTCCTAGTCACCAGCAGTGTTGGTCAAGTTACTTGAAAAAAGTAATCAGTAACTAATTACTGAATACTTCCCCCCAAAAATAATCCCGTTACTTTACTGATTACTTATTTTCAAAAGTAATTAATTACTTAGTTACTTAGTTACTTTTTAAAAACACGATTTACAACCTGAAGAGGTGATAAAGCGATAGATCTTTCAGCCCAATTCTACTTTTTCTACATAATCCATCATACAAAATGTAATCAAATGGAAAAGTCCCTTTTTTAACTTGTTTTATCAGTTTTAATCTTTTAACTTTATGCATCAAGCAAAAAATTTAATTATATGCAACATTCTCTGACTTGAATAAATTAGTTTAACATTTAAACCTATTTTCTGCACATTCCAGCACATAAAATAAAATATTTTTTGTGTTTACACTCAGTCTTTCAAATAGATGCAAGTAAAACACAGCAGAAAATAAATAAAGTCAAAGACTAGCGGTCCTGTTGCTCTATTTTCACCTGCAAAGCAGGAGTGGAGTAGGCGGAGGTTTACCCTGGTGCAGGTGTGCGGCAGCGGTCAGTGGAAGAATCCTTTTCTCTGTGAGTTTCCCATTACGTCGTTGCGCACTCGGTGCTTGCTTGGAAGTTTAGGGGTTTTTTTCGCTGTAAAAAGAAGTTTTCTTCCCACGCACGATGGACGCTAATGTTTTTGTCACTTTTTATGGAATCAAACTCAAAGTAAGGTCAGTACTTCCACACTTTAAACCATAGGTGTCAAACTCTGGCCCGCGGGCCAAATTTGGCCCGCAGCCTAATTACATTTGGCCCGCAAAGCCATACTAAATTACTATTAGAGCTGGCCTACTGGTATTATACAGCTAATATATATATATAGTTTAGTATTAAGCTTTGCTTGTTCCATATTCAGTTTTTCAGCAAAACTTATTTGAGTCCATAAGAAAAGATTCATTCTTATATCTGGAGGAAGATTTCTTTTTTCAATAAATATTAACGTTAGCCCGCGACTTTGTTCCAGTTTTGAATTTTGGCCCACTGTGTATTTGAGTTTGACACCCCTGCTTTAAACGCTGCACGCTCATACTCTCTCCCACAATCGATATGTGATCCATTGTTGATCTGCACACAGCTGTTGTCACTAAGGGTGCACTCGCTTACGTCACTGTCATGAGACATTCTTGCAAAAAAATCACGGTTTTAGTAACGCAGTAACGCAGAGTTACTACGGGAAAGTAGCGTAATCTAATTACCGTTTTTGCAATAGTAATCCCTTACTTTACTCGTTACTTGAAAAAAGTAATCAGATTACAGTAACGCGTTACAAGTAACGCGTTACTGCCCATCTCTGGTCACCAGAAAGTAACACAGGCAGTAACTAACTAGGATAGGCTCCATGTTTAGCCTCACTGAAAAGATCAGCAACATTTGCTGCGAACTTTCAAATATCTTTATTTTAAATTCAAGCAGAGACTCCAAAGTGCCCAAAATGTGTCAAAATGAGTCTAATCTAAAATAGACTTATTGAATATCACAGTCATGAAAACATGCCTTTACTCCATGGTTACATTACCTTTAGTTAGGTAGTTGAAAGAACCTGATGAACACAGCAGAGGTTAAAACTGAGCCTAAATCGAACTTCTAGTTTTGTAAATTATACAACTTACCATACGGCATTAGAATTGAAAGGGATTGTATTAGCTTCCAAAATGCATTCACAAGCAAATAGGGGACCATTAAATGGAGAAATCAATCTTGAATTCCACCTGCACTGCTGACAATAAGCAATGTAACAGTCATCACTTGGCCTATAAAGGCACAAGCATTAAGGACCCTCACATCAACGAGGATCTGATGGAAATACAAGCGTGTCGTAGCAACATCAGCACATTTGCATTTAACATGAATCCAGATATTTACTATTGATTGGAAATTTTATTTAAAACTGCTCAACCGAGAGCAGTTCAGTGGTGAGGTTGAGAGTGAGGCTGATTTAGCAGCGAATGCATAATGTAAGAGTGAATATGTATATGGAAATGAGGGCAGCACAATTGAGTGTGTGAGAGAGAAGCCAACCATATGAGCTTTCAAACCACCCCAGTGTGCAGAATGGTGTTCCTGGAACCGGGAGCACTGATGTGATGCTTCTGAGATGATGACACGCAGCATGGGAGAGCTTCAGGGTTTACACACATTGCACACATTGATGCACATATCCACAGACATATGTGCAAGTCGCTTCCCATGAAAACAGGAGAATTGTATCACTGTGCATCCCTGTACCAAAAAACTGGTAAAACTAAGCCAGACATAACCTGAGAGCAACACTTTTACTTACAATCCTGCACTGGTGTGGTTGCCATAGAAACAAATCGAACTCCTCGCGGACCACAGCTATCGCCTTGTGAGGATATAAGGAAGAGCTGGCGACACAGAGAGAAATGGAGGAGAAAGGAGCCGAGAGCCCCATGTACATTTTTTTCCTCATCCATCTTTGTCAGTGGAATAAATTGGCTGCTCTGTAAAAAAGATCAGGTCGTTGTCAGGAGGCTAAAACTTGTCCAAGCAAGACTCCCAAGAAGGCACTAAAGACACACTAAAGTGTCACCCATGTTTCTGACCTGGATTAAACAAGCAGTTAGTGTCAGTCTGACTTCCCCCAACAAATACCAAGCAGAAGACATCATTTATTGTCCTGTCAAGTTTGTTTCTACTATCAAGAGCTTTTTCTACACAATTAAACTGATATAGACATGCCAAGACTATGTATTACTGTGTTGTCTATTGTTTTGTTGTTGTTGTTGTTGTTTATTTCAGTGAACTACAAGCTCAGTTTGACTTGTGTGTTGGTTGTAACATATAAAGACTCACTCATGGCTCAGTGGTTGGTGCACCCTGTCAGTCAAAGCTGCCTCACAACTAATAATGACATATATAAATGAGTGTGTTAAATTTGCTAATGGGTCCAAAATCTGTTTGTTTGTTTTTTTTAAAGACAGTTTCTGCTTCAGAGTTGTGGATTTAAATACAGGAGTTGAAAGGGACTCACTCCGTTTATTGACATTCTCAAGTTGGCATAAATGCAGTCTTCTGACACTTTAGCACACATCTTAAGCTAACATGTTGGTCTTGGAAAACTGTACAATCCCAGCTTAAGTTTTTTAATTCATGTGGTAGTTGACGCTGTAGGCATTCTTCCTGTGCCGAAGAATATGTTAGATTAAAATAACTTTACAGCATCTGCAGGTAACTTGCTGTTTCTCAAGCTTTAACAGCATACAGTGATATGATATTGATGGCTGTGTGATACACTGCCATTCTAGCAAATAAAAATTATATATGTAGCAAGGGCAAAATGTCTTTTGACTGTTTCTCAGTTAGAGGTATCACAAGTGATTATATCTGATTTTGACAAAGGCATAATTAAGTCCCTACAACAGCTGAGAGAAGACTGAGATTTCCTTAGCAAATGAAATCTCATATCAGAGGAAACAAAGACGCATTTAAAAGATACTATAAAAATGTCAATCTGTGGAGAACAGTAGAGTTTATAGTAGAAGTATAAGTTTCTGGAGAGGACACTGTTTAAAGATGTTTTAAACTTTATTTTGGGGAAAAGTTAAAAAAAAGTGTTTTTCAGACCTAACTTCTAACCATTAAAACTGAAGAGAGATTTTAGATATTAGATAATGCTTCAAATTAAATGACCAGATTAAGTACTTGAAGTCATTTAAAGATAAGCTGTACGTCTTTGCTTCTGAAAGATTTACTATGATTTTATCCAAATACTTTGAAGCTTCGTAACGCCGTTTCAAGTAAGCTCATTTTCATTCATTCACTATTTCATTTCCAGACCAATGTTACCATAGAGATCAGGTACCAGCCGATGGATGGCATGGTTGGAGTGTGGAGTGACGGGGACTTCTTGGATGTTCCTGACGACCGTGATGGGACGTTTTCCTTTGAAACAGATAGCTTGCTGTCAGGACAAAGCCACGGGTCAGGGACGTCCCCTGGACGATCTTTACATGGATCCATACCAACCTTCAGAAAGTAAGTCAAACATAAAACCATCTCTACATTAGAACATAGCACATTACAAATCAACTACTCTTAATTTGCCTTTCAAGATTAATGTGTTGGCTTCCCAAACAAGATATATTGTTTTAATTACATGATTCACTTTTTAAGAAGTCAGTTCCAGTAACAGCACTACTGACTCACACGTGGGTGAGAATTACTGACTAGTTCATGCAACATCTGTTATGATTACAGAGAGAAATAAACAGGAAGTCTGTTTTTTAATAAAGACTTTATTGTTCCACAAACGAGCTGTTATAAGTGATCAGTTGATCATCAGTCTATGGTGTAGACTTGACTATTGTTATTGTTTTTGCAAAGTTTCAATGAAATAAGCAAAGTATTCGAGGCAGAACTAGCAGCTTAACCCCTCGGGACAGTTACATAACTGTAAAGCCAAAAGGAACAACCTTTGGTCCCGTGTAGAAAAGACATAAATTTACTCAATTTAATACCAGAGCAGTGAAGAACAACAGTTGCTGGATTCTTTAGATTCTCAGTAGTGCTAGGCAGCTCTTTTTAACATAAATGACCTAATTGCTGTCCAGAGACTCCAGACTGAAAGACGTTAGAAGTTGTTTTGCATATTTGGCACAGAGTAAAGCTTTGTAGCTCTATAAGAAGTTTGCAGTGTCGGATAAACGGTAATGCGGTAAAAATGCAGCAGGTTATGAACGAGAAGCCAACATGGAAGCTAGAAGTATCTTTTATTGAGTGTTTTAGTTGAATTGTTATAGTTCCTCCTACATAACTGCAATATCTCTTGTTAAATTACCATCTTCTACTGGTGTTATATGTCATGCCCCATTTCCTGTCTTCCTCTTCACTGTCTGATAACAGACAAAAGTAATCTTAAGACACCAGGCAAGAAGTGTTTAATTTCATTGATTACACAAGAGTAGAGTGCAGCGTCCACTATATGGGAAAATGTATGAGTATCATGAAGTTGAATCTCCACATATTGCTGTTGTATAATAGTAATAGTTATGTTGGGTCACAGGATCCATGTGTATACAAACGTTTCCATTTTTTTAATCCATGCTGGCATCTTTTTCCTGAAAACCGTTTGCTTACCTGACACACACACACACACACTGAAAATGTATGTATGCCTGTTTTAAGAAAAAATATAAAGATCCTCATCTACTGTATAAGCAGAATCAATAATGTCATTCCTAACAATATAATCAATTCCTATAGACAAGTAAACGCAAGCCATACAACATCAGATATATTTAGCATAGAAAGCTCTAAGAGCATGTTCTGCCAAGGCTTTTTCTCTTTTGTCATCCTCTTCCTCTGCAGTTCTACTGTTGCGTTTTCGCTGAATAGCATGTGAAATAATCTGTGGGTTGTATTGATTTCCACTGAAACTATCAACACAGCCAAACCCCTAAACCCATCTTTGTGCTGTGTATTGAATGGGCATGTATAAAAAGTTTGTGTGTAGCTTGCTGTTGTGCTCAAGTATTTGTCTGTTAATACTGAACACCTACGTTTACATTGTGTTACAGTATCAAATTCCTTGGAAACAGGGTTTCCAGCCTGAGGACAATGAGAAGAGTTAGATAGAAGTTATAGAGCATCCCATGAGTGTTACATAAGAAAGGAAGACTTTGGATATTGCTCAGAAAACAGAAATGAAAATACTGCTGTAGAAAAATAGTGTAAAAGAATTTAGTAGAAGCGGGAAGAAATTTGTGATCAAATTGTTTTTTTGCTACACACGCTTCAGGTGAACCGGCCTTCTTGTTTCGTTGCTGAGGTTGCTACAAGCTGTCAGTCAGACTAGGGCTGCTCAATTAATCGAATTTTAATCACGATTACGATCTGGGCTTTCAACGATCATTAAAAATGACTGAGCCGATTATTAGCCCCTCCCTCATTTATCCGCGACACCTTAAAGGCCGGTCCGTGAAAATATTGTTGGGCATAAACCGGTCCGTGGCGCAAAAAAGGGTGGAGACCGCTGATTAAGAGGACCCGAGGGAAGCTCAGAAAGCTAAGCAGAAGTTATTTGGAGAGTGACTGCCGTTGGTTGAAAAGAGTTAAAAAAAACAAAAAACTTCAGTGGTGTTGCACACTATTTTATATTATTTTTTTAAAGTCATTGTTAACCCTTTAAAGCCGGTCAGAGCAGCACGCTCCGTTTTGCGTAACTATTTTTAAATCCCTGTAGAACCTGAACCGTGTAAGCTAGCGCAATAATTTGTTTTGCATATGAAACCGGAGGAGTTGTACTTACATCTGATGCCATCAGCTTGTCCTCAGTCACGGTTTCGTTCCACATATAGCTTTGCAAAAACTGCATAAAAAGCGCTTGCAGGAACAAAAGCATAATATTCCAGAAACAGGCTTTGCCGTTCCTATCAGCTGTTCGTAACACTTCCCACAGTAAAATGATGCACATGCTGTTTTCTTTGCAAATTTGCATCATAGGATTGTTTTTTGTTTTTCCTGCAGTATATAAAAATTGCTGTATCTCCAAAATAAAACTATGAAGACACTCAAAATAAATTTCCTGTTGTTGTAAACTATTTTTTGCAACTTTATTGTATTTAAAGTTTTGAGGGATAAACCTCTTAAATTTCTCCAAGTAGAAATATATGTAAACAAAACAAAAACGATTTTCAATTTTTTTTGTAGTTTATTGCACTTTTTTGCAATTTATGTAATTACTATGCACTTAATGCATACATATTATTAAAATATGGGCTATAACAGTTGTATTGATGTATAGCAACTTGAAATGCTCCCACAAATGGCACTACAGCATGTAAAAAAAATAAATAAAAATAATATAAGCTCTGGTGGACTTGGTTCTATAGTAGGTCTTAAAGGGTTAAATAAATATCGTCAAATAATCGTGATCTCAATTTCAGTGAAAATAATCGTGATTATCATTTTTGCCATAATCGAGCAGCCCTAAGTCAGACCTTGTAACGAGGTGTCGAAAGGCATTTTGTCTTGGGGGGAGAAAAGGTGAATGAGTTCCTGAGAAAGCCCAGACAAAAAGTTCAGCTCTAAACTGCTGCAAAATAGTGTGGCAGGATTGTAGGAGGATTTTTAATAGCCGTGCCACTTCTCATCCAATCCTATTAGTTCCTGAGTTACCGGCTGCTAAGTTTCTCTATGGTTGAGATGTTTTCAGAATTAAAATTCCCAAAGATATTTCACTGTGTCTTGAATTCTGATGCTCCAAAGCCGCTGTTAATTGTCCTTACTGTGGTAATGAAGTGTGGATGTGCAGGAGATGATAACCTGGAATGAGCCTCTCATTCCTGGAGAGTGGAGGGGGATTAGGAGGAGGAGATGGAGAATGTCATTAGCAGTTAAGCTTTAACAATGATCCTCGATTTTTATTTTTATTTTTTTAAGTTTTTAAGTTTATAGCTCTATGTTTGTCATTTTTAATCAGGGGTTGCAACTCCTGTTGAGGACTAGCGTGGACCAGGTCATGGTGGAGAGTGGACCATAGTAACTTTAACCCATTTTAGGGCAAATATTTCACATCTCACACACCTCAGTAATTGTTAGTTGTCCTTCCCAGGTATTAATTATTAGCATTTCCGAACTTAAAAGGATTTTTATTAGCTGCTGCTAGATTGAGACTTTAAATGCAGCACATTCTAATGTGAGTTACATTTAAAAAGCAGGAATTCAGTTTCCTGTTCTGAGCTTAATTGTGGAAGAACAAACATGATCCTGCACAGCGCTCAACCCACTGGTGCCTATTTCTGTTATATCAGCTGTAGCCTAAAGGTCATGTGTGCCTCGTACACGGGGGTTGGTGTTCAGTGGGGATGGAATTTCATCTTTACATCTTTCCAGCACTTCTGTAAATGACAAATTGGATAGTGAAGGTATATGACTTCCTCTTCGTCCCCTTAAGTTGGTACAGTACTGCTGCCACCTCTTCCTATCTCTCTGCAAAGTCTCTGGGCCTGCAGGGTGATTTATGGCAGCACCCATAAAGCACTGCATGCTATCTGCAACACAACAATAAGCCAGCTTTTTAGGGGTTTTGTTATTTCTAAAAGTAAATCAAGTTCTCTGAGTTTCATTTAAGCAAATGTGTTGTTTAGAGCACGAGTAAGGAGCAGAGCAGATTTTAGGATAGATTTGATTCTCCAGCTGTCTCCACAATACACATGAGGTTTACTTTGTTATCTGTAACTTGACCAAACACCTTGTGATTAGTAAAAGAACTACAAATTGCATGCTGGTTGGCTTGATCAGTGGAGTAACTTTATTAAGAGATTGTGAATAACTTTTTTTTCCCTCTGCTTTGTTTTGACTTGTTTTATACTTTTTCTTCGGGCGCCAGAAACTACGTTGTGGTATTTAGATAAATATATGTACTACATGTTGTTTAGTTAAGGTAAGGAAAAGATTGTGATTTTGGTTAAAATGTGCCTTATAAGTCTGAATATTAAAAAAGTAAAACTGACCCAGTGCATGTGAGAGTAGGAATCCTTGAAATGCATCCATGTGAAAGTTATGGAATAAGTGACCAGTGTCACTGCTGCCTCAACGCAGTGCATGAGGCACAGATCACAAAAAATACCATGAGAAAATAAACTAAAATAAAATGAGATCTACATCTACAGACATCAAAACCTGGAAATAAAAGACCAGAACCCTAGTGCATAGGGCTAACAGAGTGTTTTCTTTCTGTTGAAATAATGTTGAAATTCATAGATTTATTGGTATTGCCCCACAGAAGCAAATAGCTGTAAATTTTCATTGTGTTTATCCTGGTAGTTTGAATATGCATGCACCATTTGCACAACATCACCCTCCTGTCTTCATTCCCACTGCAGCAAAAGGTAATTTGTTCAAGCAAGCGTTAATTTACTTGTGTTTTATTATTATTATCTGGTCTACTTGGTTTATTTTCACCAGTGTAAATTGCAGCATCCTTAAAGACAGCCGTGTTGTCACACAGCTGTGATCTATCCTCATACTGTGTG